TGGTTTAATTCTACAATCCAACATTCAATAGTCATATTTATTGTGGCTCACTAGAGAAACTGTTGAGATGTTTTGTTTACTTGGGCCATGTACCCATCCCTTTCTGTCCCCCTCCTGACCTCCTTGAAGCTAATGTCTTATTGGGCCTTAGACATCCACTTTAATTAATGCATCATGTTTTAAGAGAACTAAAAAGTGGATGGTATTTGATATAGTTGCAATAAGTTGGGTGTAACTGTTAATATGATAGTCCTAAGTCCTAACAAATACTACTTCATAACAAGAACAATATTAATACCATTAGAACTTTTGCTTTTATTCCCTGAGATAGACTATGATCATCATTAATAACCGTACACATACTTACTATCTAATTCTTACGATCATTCTCGTGAATTACAACGTAAGCTTGATAGTTGTTTTAGTCAAGATTTGATTATGTAAGCCTTCTAAATTATGACCAATCCTCTCACTTCTCCCTCGACTCAAATTTCACGGGGAAGCCACCTTTCATCTTGGCCGTCATAAACGAAACATACACCGGCTTGAACCCTTCTTCGACGGCGGGAACCACCTTGAAATTGCTCAAAATCCCGGCGACCACCCGCTTCATCTGCAGGAATGCCATTTCCTTCCCCAAGCAAACCCGGGGCCCCGCTTGGAAGACCGGGTAACTATACGGATCCCTCGCCACAAAGACCCATTTCTCGCCATCCGATTCCTCCTCACTCTTCTTCAGCCACCTCTCGGGCTTGAACTCGGCCCAGTCGGGGCCCCAAATCCGCTCCAGCCGGCCCATCGCGTACGGATGGTAAGTAATTCGGGTACCTTTCTTCACTTTCGTCCCGTCCGGCAAAACGTCGTCGTCCTCCGCTATCTTGGTGTCCATCGGCACCGGCGGGTAAAGCCTCATGCTCTCGCACAGCGCAGCGTGAGTGTACGCCATGTTCTTCACATCCTCGAACATCAGATTTTCCGATTTCTCGCCGATCTCTTGGCAGATTTTCCCCTCCACTTCAGGGTGCTCGGAGATCAGCCAGAAGAACCAGGTTAACGCGGCGGAGGTGGTGTCCCTGCCGGCGAGGATGAAGCTGATCACGATATCCCTCACGAATTCCTCGTCGGAATGGCCGGAGCTCAAGAATCGAGAGAGAAGATCGACGGAATCGAGCGCAGATCTCTTCTCGAGCTCTGCTTTCTTTTCCATCACGACTCCCTTAGCGAAATTCCGAATCAAGCCGACCGCCTCCTTCAGCCGCTTCTCCGATCCGATGTTGAGAACTTTCTTCACCTTCCAGATCAAGGGGAACATTGAAATGAACCTGTAGGTGCTTATCACCGTGGCGTCTTCAAACGCGGTTGGGAACTCTGCTTCCGGGAGAGACGGCAGCAGGTACTCCGGATCGTACCCAAACGCAATTTTGCAGACATTGTCGAATGCGAACCTCTGCAAGATGTCCTGCAGGTCGAGCACACCTCCGCTCGCGGCGGCGTCAGAGAGCGTCGGGATCAAACGGTCGGAGACCTCGGCGTCCACCACGTGGTTGACGAAATGCCTGAGAGACTTGGTGTTGAACTCGTGGCTGGAGACTTGCCTCTGGAGCTTCCAGGACGCGCCATCGGCGTTGAAGATGCCGTCCCCGAGCATGTCGAAGAGGATCGCTCGACTGTCTTCTCCCTTGGGGTAGTTGTTGAACTTGGTCTTGAGGATGTGCTGGACGACGGCGGGATCAGCCGTGAGGATCCGTTGCCGGTCGAGGAGTCGCACGGCAACCGTTCCGGACGGAGAGGCTTGGAGCAGCTCTGTTGTCCACTCAACTCGGCGCTCCTTGTTTCTTATCAGCTCCAGTGCGTGGCCGATTATTGGGTACCGTTTTGAGCCACGGCGCCCGGAAGCAGGGGAGAGGAAGAGAATCATCGCCAGTATGACGAGAAAGCCGGTGACTAGGAGCTCCACTGCGAATAACATGATGGTGGTGGCTATGGGTTTTCAGTACTGAGTAGCTTGGTTTCAGTGTCTAAGAGGTGATGTCTCAATAATTGACATGGGCGATTGATTTATAGGAATTTTGGGCAAGCAGTGAAACGATTCCAGGATCATGCTCGGAATTTCGTTTGATTGGCTGACTGATTTACATAGTATGAATCTGGAAATGAATTCTTATGTATGTGCAGTATTGGAAACGACGGTGTGGGAGCCGTAGAGGACGGCAGAATTGTCTTCTTCGGCGACATTTTGACATGAAAGTGACTAATTTTGTTAGCTTCTCTCGGGATCGTCGATGTTTGGCCCAGCTGCCTGCCTCCAGCGAAAGTTACTTGGCACAAGAAGACCGAGGCGTGAATCAAAGAGAGTGGGGTACAGAGATTTTCCCAGGTAGGTCTCAATCAGCAGTTTGCGTATCTCACTCGACAACTGCTACACCTCGTAATCTTATTGGTAAATCAAATATTAAATGGGGGTTAACGATGTATCAATCCGCCTACTAAAACCAAACCTAGGGATCTAAGAAATTCAATCTATCAGGGGAATGGGTATCAAATGGAAGCCATTGCAAGTCGTGTCACAACAAATGTCATATCTTTTCATGTTAATGTTGCTATCGATCCTAACAAACCTGTTTTTTTTTCTTTTGAAAAAGAGTATTATGCAAAGAAATGCTATAAGATGTATTATGAAACCTGACAAAAAAAGCGAGTTATTAAAATTGATTGGTTTTTGACATGATCGGTGCTTTTTTTTAATGTCAAGTAGCCCAATATTAATAGTTGAGTTAAGCACAAGGTACGTGTCTGTGCAAACTTTACAAATTCAAGGGTCTGTTTCTGTTTCAGGGTGTATGTAAGAGAATCATATAAAATCAATACTGAAATCTCTTCCAATAGCTCGAGTAGTTGAGACCAACTCATTCTTGATATGAGATATATCTATCTTGAAAAGTTAAAAGAATGGAGGTTTTGTTCATACCATTTCTGAAAGTCAAACGACGTGACATATGAGGCTTAATGGTTCGAAAATTATTAATGAAGATTCAGCTTCTTTATCTCAATATATGATTATTAATGTTCGATTTGTAGGTCTGCGCAGTAATAGGGTAGTCCATTTGGCTTGTCCGCCAACAAGAATCGAGGTCGAGATCTCTTGGCAGCCACCGCCTCCAGAGTGGGTTACTCTTAATTCATATGGCTCTGTCCTTTCTGACTTTGGCCTTGCAGCTGCAGGAGGCCTGTTACAAGATCAAACAGGATGCTGTCTTGCAACGTTCGCTTTGAACTTGGGGATCTGTTCTATCGCCAGGGTAAAATCGAGAGGCGTTGTTGAAGGACTTCAGCTAACTTGGGACAGGGGTTTGGGCGGGTTCGTCTTGAGATCGATTCACAGTGTGCAATCCAACTGCTCACTAGCAAGGATGCGCTGAATCACCAATTCACCACCATGGATCTATTATTCAGAGATTCCATACCCTGCTTTTGCACGATTGGGAAGTGTTTGTCTCCCACATCTATCGCGAGGCAAACAAGTGTGATGATTATCACCGCTAGTTGAGGTCACTCCTTATCTATTGGTTTCCATGATGTTTTAGTTTTTAATCCTCTATTCCATCATTGGATTGTGTATGACTCTATGGGGATCTCTGAACCCCGTTTGGTTTTGAATGCATCCATCTATAATGCATCCAATTATAAAAAAAAAACCTTGCACTACACTTATCTTCAAAATGCATATGGTCTAGCACCAACATGGCAACATCTAAGTATACAAAATGACACTATATGATTTTTACAAAATGAACTTATTACATTGATAACTAAAATGTGTCCTTATTAAGACCATTCACTATCGAATATTTTTATGGCACTATCACCAACACATCATTCATCAAACTGTGTAGCCAAAACTTTGATCATAGATATGCTATTCCATTGTGGTATTATAGTTTGATTGAATTGTGATATGATGTCTTGTAGATATTCAAGAAACTCTTTCTCAATGTATTTCGTACCTTGATCAGATTGAGAAATCTTAATCATCTATGTACCCGCCATATGATTTTCAATAAAATGGTATAATCGAACCTCCTAAACAACTCGAGTTATTGGGAGCACCTGATTTTTGACATGGTATCAGAGTTTTTGATGACTAAGAGGTGTTATTTTTGAACCCAATGGCCCCCGATGTTAAGCACATGGTGTTTGTATATATTCAAATTTCAAGTTTACCCGTTGGTTTTCATTGTACAAGACATAATTAAATAAGATTTATAATTGAACATCTCCCAACCATTCGACTTGTTGGGATCAATCATTTTGGGTGAAATTTGTATAAACAATTAACTAGATGAATCACGATACAAAAATTCATAGCTCCGTCATCAAAGAGAACCACAACCTCGACCATATTGGCAGTCGACTTCGATTTAGGGGTCTTTATGCGGAAGTATATAATGCCTTAATTTCAATATATCAGATTTATTTTCACTAGTGTGCTTATTCCTTTCTTTTGTCCATCGATTATAAGTAATGACTAGGAAGACTTTCATAAGTGAAGAGAAGCAAGAAAGCACATGTTAGAATTATTAAGAATCAGATAGATCCACCTCATAGTTGGGGTCTTTCATCGAGCGAGTATTACTTGAAAACAATTGTAGTAATGTATTTAATCATTTGCGATGGTGTTTCTATTTGTTGAACGGATTCCATGCATCTAGCCAAGAATTTGAATCTATTTACAAAAAAAAAAAAAAAAATTCAAATTCTTTCAACTTGGAAACCCACAAACAAAAATCATTTAGTTGGTAATTTCGTAAAGTAAACCCTACATAGCTAATTGAATTAGAGGACCAAAAAAACAGAAACAAAACTAAAGACCTCTGTAGGGAGAGAAAAGAAAGGAGCGACCCCAATTTTCTCTCTTCATTGCACCACATGTTGTCTCAAAACAGAAAAGGGTAAGTTGATACCTGTACATAAAACATAAAGCTTCTTCTACCAACAAAAAACATCAAGCTTCTCATTTGTTTACGACTAACAGGAAAAAAGAAAAGAGAATCTCATGTTATCACTTTGGCCTTCGTTATAGAACAAGTCTCATAGATCCTCATGACATTCTACAGTATGAAAATCTTCTATGGAAAATCAAGTTGGCTTTCAACACTGTTTCACCTTGTAATGAAGAATGGTGAATGCCAATCAACAAGCAACATAATGATATCTACTCCGCATCCCAATCTTGCGCAATTCCTTAAGTCGATGTGCTATCTCTTGAACAAACTGCAACCCTTGTTTCCCACTCTCAAGAGAGTTAAATGTATGCTCAAGGAAACTCCAATCAGTTTCAAGTGATTCCAACCTTTCATTAAGGTCACTGATCTCATTCTTGAGAGTTGCCAAATCACCCTCATGGAGAGGGTTGGAAGTTGTTTGTCCATTCCTAGCCAGGTTGCCAACAACGGTCTTGTCTTTGCTATCTGATGTGATATGGGTCTCTTCATGCACGTAAAGGCTTCCATTACCTACAAGAAACTCCCCTGCACCTACTTCTCCTCCTTCTCTGTCTGTAGTTTCTTCAGGATACTAGTTGTCGGACATGTAAGGTGACACATTAGCACTGTGAGACAACTTGTGCAACTTCCTCTCTAAGCCCTTCAACCGTTGGAAAATGAATGACTTCTCATCTTCAATGTCTGGCCATGATGATTTTGTGAGGATGTCTCCTTTATCACTTCCATTAAGAAGCTCTCTAGAGTTTAAAACAGAGTGGTGCTCATTAACCTCTTGTTCTGCATAGCTGGAGCTAACACTATCCTCTCCTAACATGTTATCATCATCCCTACTCATACTAGACTTGGTATTCGGCATGCTCTCCCCCATATCTTCATCTCCATATTTTATTCTGAAATACTCTAACTCTGCCTCTAAATCTTGCAGTTCCTTCTCCCTTTCAGCGAGGAGATCATTCGTTTTCTCGAGCTCCTCACCATCATATTCGGCTTGCTCTTCCATCATTCGCAAATACTGCAAGGCTTCCATGTGTAGCGCCGCTTTCTCCTCTTGCAACCTCGTGATCATCGCCATTGCCTGGTTGGCAGCAATTGAGGATGCACTTCTCTCTTCATCTAATTCCTTGGTCAATGTACTTATGAGGATCTTGTCCTGCTCTATTTGCCTTTTTAACCTGTCATCTATATTTTCACCTTCTATCGCATTAATGAATCCATCAAGGGACTCCAGAGTGGAGCCATGAACTTTGTCTTTCAAAACTGGTTCTGGGGCCATCATACTATCATGAACGACATGTACATTATTGTTTGATGATGCCTTAGTTTCTTTGGAGGAGGATGGCTTCAAACCCTCATGAGGTTCTCTCTTCCCAAGTTCTTCTACTGCAAATTTAGCTTCTTCCCTTTCCTTGACACTAATCCTCGCCTTAGGTGTTTCATTATCTTCCAAAGAAGTTACCTCTTTAGAAGGCACATCATAATCAACTTGACCACTAATTGTAGTTGCATCAACTATTGGCTTCACATCGTCGGTTTGCTTATTATTGTTAAAGTCACATGTTGTTCCAATCTCATCCAAACCTGCAAACGATCTTGTTACAAGGTTTTCTAAGTTAATTCTTATACACTCATAAAATAACAGGCGGTAGAAAGAGTAAGCAAAAGAGACAAGAAGACGATTACCCTTAACTTTTGATGTCTCGAAATGATCTTTTGAAACAGTGAAAGCTGACGGAGAGTCAACCAGAGCCATGAGTTCGTTTAGTACAGAAGAATCAGTAGTAAGAACAGAAGGATTGTTTTGCTCATTTTTTGCTTGTTTCAGCTCAGGAGGGACCTCTTCCATGTTTGATGGATGAAGACCCTCATGTAAATTTAGCTCTGAAATTGCAGGGTTTTCACTTTTTATTGCTTCTCTCTTGCCTTGATCTTTAACATAAGGTTGCATTCCTTGTTTCCATGATTGCTGATCCATCTCATTGTCCGCAGCTTTATCAAAAGCAATAAGAGTTGTAGGTTGTTTTCCTTCCTTGGGAGGCTCATCCCCTTGATGACCATAATTATTATATTCATCATCATCAGAGTACTGGAATTCAGACTCAGAGTCAGAATTGAACTTGAGCTCTGTGTAACCCACATGAGATAAAGAATCAAATCCGATATTTCCGAGTCGACAAGGAGTTAAAGACCCAGAGAACTTGTCTCTTATCTTCCTCAAGCTCTCTTGTTGTGTCAAACGGTGAGGCAAAGGAATGTTAGACTTGGAGATGGCAGCACTTGTAGGTGATTTTAGTCTGATGATTTTGTCTGCTCTCTGCCTTGACCTCCAAGGCTTATGGCAACACGAACATAACTTGGTAGCCACGGAACCAGGAAGGAGATCCTTGTTTGTGAACAAGTTAGGCGTACCATTGGAGCCAAGATCAACCCCGAGTTTACCCACCACAATCCTTTGCATCTCTGATTTTTCTTTAAACATCATTGAGTATGACAATAGGCAATTGTCACACATAGCACTACCATCAGCAAGTTTACCATGGTTGTGGCAGAAAATCAAGCACGACATTTCAGCCTTGTGGGATGTGCAAATGAGATCCCGGTAAAACCCAGGGTTTTCATTGCCTAATATGTGATCTAGCCGTGAACAAAAGACGCACGGTACTTGTAGTTGACAATAACGTGAAAATCTAGTGAGGAGATATGCAAACACCGCATCCAGAAGCAACAAGAAAATAAGAAGCCATTCACAAGATGCTGATCTCAGAGCATATGTGAAGCCCCTCAAAGTGCTCCATGTTGGAGCAAATGAGGAGGATTTTGCAGCCATGTCCACTCGTAAAATTAGACTAATATAAGATCACCATTGGGGAGTATCCATCAAGAAAATGGCTGACATAAAATACATAACCAAAATAGTAAGTGTACTATATGATCAGCTTGATGAAACATACATATCACAAGAATAACCCAACTGAGAATATGGCTAGACTGCAAACCACTTCTTACTAATTAAAATCCAGACTATCCATTTTCTCCTTAATATGAGACAAACAAGCATCGTAAGGATAAACGAGTATAATTTTTGAACACTCTTGATTCCAAATTGAATGAACAGCAACACTAACTCTCTACATCTCTTTGAATTCAATCGGTAACAAGTTCCACCATCATCACAATTCCAATGAAATTATTGGAAATAGAATTTTTCCCATCCAACCACCAAGGAGACCTATTGGTGTCAGTGATCAAAAAACCAAACACAGAAACATTTTCTAAATTAATTTTGAAAAATCAATAATTAAATTCCCTATTCATTATGGATTTAAATATAACTAAGCAAGCAGACCCCAAATATTTCTCAGAATCTGCAAATTTCTATAAAAAGGTGCCAAACACAAATGGCGAGAAATAATTAAACAGCATTTTAGAACAAAAAAATGAGAAGGAAGAACAAGCAAAAGGGTAAGCCCTTGGACCATCAAACACATAGCAAATTATGGGGGAAGAAAAAGAAGAGAAGTGAGTTCTAATCAAGGTACCTGGCTGAAAATGTGAATTAGAGACGAAGATTTCAGCAGAAGGTCATCAAAGATCAGACCCAGAGAACGACAAAGTTTGACGAGGTAAAAAATTGCAAGCAAATTAAAGAGAAAAAATGGAAAAGGGAAACAAAAAATACCAAAAGAGAAAAAGGAATGACACGTTATAAACCGGTTTGATGATTGCTCCAAAAAATGTGTGATTTATCTTTGTTGGTAATTGTTTGGTTTGGGTTCTCATTTCACGAGCACACTACCTCTTGGGAAACCTTTAAATGGGGGATTCACAATTTCAGGTTATCCACAATGGAAATTTGTGTAATAACCACAACAGAACACCAGACCAGTTCTCTTGTCTTTGTTGGATTGAACATATTCCAGGACCCGGTTTTAGCCTTTTCTCGGATTTAGTTTTTATTTTTATTTTTTATAAGGGTGATATAAGATATTTTGTTTGTTATTAAGTACTACTTAAGGGATTTGAATCTGAGACATTTTTCTCGAATTTAGTTCGATAATATGACACAATAGCTAGAATCTGGGTTGGTTGCACATGTAATTCAACTACTAGCTAGGTGACCCGTGCTTCGCGACGAGAATTTTTTTTAAATAAAATTTCGTTAATTAAAATAAGGAAAATAATTAATAGGAAGCTTAATTAAGAATATATGACATTGGTGGATTATAAAACTAAAGCATGAATAGTAAAATTAGTATTACCTCTAAGGTCAATACTTAGGTTTTAGACCAACCTGGAGTGAAATATTTTGATGCACAATTGGTGTTTTAAAAAATGATCTGCAATATTCGAGAAAAAGGTGCCAAACACAAATGTTGAGAAACTAAACAAAATTTTAGAATAAAAAAAGAAGAAGGAAGAACAAGCAAAAGAGTACGCCTTCAGACCAGCAAACAAGTAGCAAATGCAAATGCAAAGCAAATTTCGGGAACGAGAAAGAACAAAAGTGAGTTCTAAATTCTAATTAAGGTACCTGACTGACAATGTGAATCGTTAATGAAGATTCAGCAGAAGGGCATACAAAATTAGACCTGGAGAACAAAAACGTTTGACTTGGTAAAAATATGCAGCAAAAGATTTACTTGCACAATTCGACACAACGAATAAAGTTATGGTTGGTCGAGTATGCAGCTCAACTATACATGTATTAGATGTGCCATTCAAGAATGTATTTTTCGTAATTTATTGTTTCATATGATTAATTATGGTTCTGGATAGGGTGCATAACCGTATCGTGCATAACCCTATGGTGTATAACTTACAATCTGGACCCTTCCTTTTAAGTGAGCCCTAGATCTAAGAGTTGAGAAATAAAGAATTTTTATTTTTCCTAGTTTTCTTAATCGGCTCTCAATTTCTTCATTTTAACTTGGATTTTAATTTTTTTTTTTTTTTTGCACAGATGGGACGAGTTCATTGTGCTCTACAAGAAGAGGAAAATCAATTCCACTTCCTTGAATTCTGACCCAGCTAATTCTGGCAAAGGCATCAATACCTCCCTAGCCGCCACTCACAAGAAGAGGAAAATCAATGTTATCCCTTCCATATTTGGAATCCCGATCTCCCAAAAGTAAATGGAAAATCAGAATTGGAAAAACACTAAAAGCGTGAAGCTCATACTAGCATAGGAGATCACAGAGCTCACTGTGTGCACCTTCTCGTCATTTGTTGCTGCTCAAATTTTGAACCCACGACGCATGCTCAAGCACCAATGGAAGAAGGATCTTGTTTTAAAACCACCTCTAATGGAATGAAATCATATACGGAATATTCAGACGGTGGTTTCTAAGCCGTCGAAGTCTCCAAGGTGGAAGGCGGAGAGGCCGAACATGGGGAGAAGAGCTCTATTTAATTAATAGATCGACAAAATAGCTTCAATTCCCCGCACCCGACTTTCTCTTTTTTGCTGATGTGGATAAGAGAATTACCTAGTCTACCTAATTTAACCTAAAAAAGTAAAACCCAATCGGCCATATCATAATATCTGCCACGTCATAAAACCTAACCCAACCTTTTTGACTTACCAGAACCAGAGCTCAGATTATGAGTTCCCTCATTTTGCTCCATCTCTCTCCAGAAACATAGCACTCCCAAGAATCAAGACAAACCTTTTTTCCTCCCATTGTGTCTCCCTCCCAGCCTCAGTCATTATTTTTCCCAAACTCATTCTGAATCCAAGAAGATTTTGGGGATTAAACCAACTAAGGTAGCTTTGGCAACTAGTAATGGCAAAGGCGGAATGAATGACCATGCCCTTCCTCACTTGCGGAAAGTCAATCTAGAATGATGAAACTCAAACATATAAAGTAGAAAAGAGCCAATAGAGGAGCAACGGTCTAAACCTAAGTAACCAAAGGAGGAATTTCAAGAGGAGCAACCTATTAGGAATGCTGATGAGTAGACCAACGTGGTGTCCAACTTAGAAGAAGAGCAAGATGCCCCCACCATCCATGAGGTTGCGGAAGAGTTTATCAATGTAGAAATATCATCTAGCTCAATGGAGGAAACTTCAAGCCACGCCCATCAAGAGTTCAAACAGAGTTGGGAGCAGAGAACTGACGAAGATTGTAGCTTTGATCTTGAAAAAGAAGAAACCATTGCATCACTGTCACACCCGCTACTTCTTAAACTGCTTAATTAAGTGTATGTCATGAGTAAGGATTTAAATCTATGCCACTGTTGATTAACTATTGCCCAGTTATGGTGACTAACGTATTTCGGGACTAGTTATTTACTTAAGAATACAAATGATAGGGAACTCGCCGTAATAAATTATGATCAAAATAGAAATTATATTGCTATGTTACCATCTCCCTATACTATATCAACCTGCATTTGAATTTGGTTAAGTATAAGGGGTGTAGTAAAATAATCAATTTTTGTTGGTTAAGGTAAACCGAGTCAATTCCACTAAGTCAAAGAAAGGGAGTTAATATGTTGGGTCTTCCATATGCATCTGGAGACACGCAGAAGCCTGGCTTCCCAAACTAAAGTAAATGGAAAACACGTACCCACAACTTCTGCATGCCATTAAATGAATTAGGAGGGGATTCCTAAATGGAGAAGAGTGTCATGCATCCCTATCCATTCTTTTTCTTTGAGCGTCAAGAGAGAGAGACAGACTCTTATGATAATTTCCCTCTCCCTATCTCTATCTTGGGTAACCGTTCTTCCTGTCATCTGCATCAGTAGAAGCGATTAGAAGTTGTAGTGTTTATTAAGCAGATACTGCTAATGTTAAAGGTGAGACCTTTTTCTTTTGTGATGGAACAAGTGAGAGGGAAAGGAAGTAGTTAGTTAGCGGTGGTAATTTGGGGTTCCTCCAAGTCCCTCTGTGATGGAATGATCATGATGCTTTTGAATTATAGGTGAGGGAATTATGTCCTAATTTTATCATGCATAGTGGTATATATGTGAACACCAGTACACTAGTTCAGGAGAGGGGTCAAGCAACTAATTGGGTAATTAAACTATCATGGATTTAAGGCCAGTAAATGGTGTATGCATGTGAAAGTGGTGTATATGCATGGATTTAATGGGGTTCTCTAGGAAGGATTAGTGTACAGCAACACAGGGTTATATATATATGGCAAAGGCTAGAGTACGCCCGGGCGTACCTTTAAGGTTTTGGTTCGGTTGACTTCGGTTTCGGTTTGGTTGACTTTGGTTTCGGTTCGGTTTGGTTCGGGTTTACCGAACCGGATGCCCACCCCTACTACCTTAGCCTACCGTACGCCCGTTGAGTTTTGCTATTTATACAATGAATTAACCAAAGTTTGGGACATGATACTATATCCTAACCCCTGATAGGTGAACCCCAGTCCCCAATTCACTAACCCAAAGCATAATATTCATTTAATCTTGAAATGAAAATCAATAGTTCTCATTCATCAAAATTATTGTTGATTTTCATTTTAAGATTAAACGAATCTCATGATTTGGGTTAGAAAACTAGGCGCAGGGGTTTATCCATTAGTGGTTAGGTATAGTATCATGCCCAAAACTCCGGTTAATTCATGATCTAAATAGCAAAACTCAAATGGGCGTACGATAGTCTAACGTACACCCGAGCGTACGCTATATATATATGTGGTTCAGCTTAGCGTAGGTCCGTACGTCAATTGAGTTTGCTATTTAGATCATGAATTAACCGGAGTTTCGGGCTGATACTATACCCTAATCTATAATGGGTGAACCTCGTTCCCTAATTTTCTAACCCAAACCATGAGATTCGTTTAACTTGATTTTCATTTTAAGATTAAACGAATTTCATGCTTTGGGTTAGTGAATTGGGGGGTTGGGATTCATGCATTAGGGGTTAGAGTGTAGTACCATGCCCCAAACTCCGGTTAATTCATTGTCTAAATAGAAAAACTCAACGGGCGTAGGCATAAACTATCCTCTATATATATATGTGGAGAGTTTAATTACAACGGAAAATAAACTAGCTACACTATATCTACCAATCAAGGAAGGAAAAATGTCTTTCTACAGTAAAACTTGAAACACTAAGAACACTAAAGGAACATCGTCCTTCCTCCTAGCTCTTCACTTTCTTCTGGTTAAAACGATTTCGTGCCACAAACTCAGTAGTGACCCGGTTTGAATCCAACTTGCAGCTTCATCTTCTTCAACATGCCCCCTCAAGCTAACACATACAGGTCATGAAGGTTTAGCTTGGATAAAAGATGTAGAAGACAATGCCTACTCAGTCCCTTGGTGAAAATGTCTGCAATTTGATTCTCTGTTTCAAGGTGACTGAAATTGATAAGTTTGGATTGAAGAAATTGACGTACCACGTGACAATCAACCTCATGTATTTTGGTCTCTCGTGAAACACAGGTTTATTGCAATGTAAATGACTGATTGATTGTCACATAACACCGCTACAGGTCTTGGATGCTCAATGTGTAGTTCCTGTAAAAGCCTTTTTACTCACACTACTTTACAAGTAAACTCAGCAAAATCTCTATACTCATATTCAAAAGATGATTGAGAAACAGTTCGCTGTTTATATGACTTC